TATATACGTCTTACATAGGGTTTGGGTAAAGAAATTAAATACTGGTGTAACTGATACATGTAATTGGAGATTCTATGAGGAGGAGATGAATGAGAAATAATACCTTACTTCAATAGGTAGAAAAATGAGGGTTATATTGAATTTCATTATCTATTTAACAAGGTATCAACACCTAATCATCTATGTCCTGTCTTTTTTTTTAAAAGAATAGAGAGACATTCAAACGCAAAGTCTAGAAAATAAGCTTTGAATCAAATCTCTTAATATTATTTTTGTCATTTATCATCATTTCAAGTGTTTTAAGTTTAATGTAACTAATGTTTAAGACAAATAATTTTTTTTTTTTTTTTAATATTTACGCTGTTACATAGCCAACTATACTGCACGTGCATCTTAGTAGTAATTTCAATATGGGGGAGAGGTAGAGTTTTTGTAAAATTTTGTGGTGACGATGAAGTGGTAAAAATGATGGTGAAAAGCATGAAACTGGGCAGTTAGTTGAATTTCTTGGTTTTTGTGCTTGAGATTCATTGCTCGTGCTTTTTTTTCGTTAGTGTTAGGATGTTTAAGTTAAGGGAGCACGGTGTATGATGAGAACAGATTAAGGGGGAGTAGTCTTTGTAAATTGGTTGATCACAGTTATCACACAGACATTACATTAAAAGTCCAATATTATTTTTTGAAATTAAGCAAATCAAGAATTTATTGATAGATTAAATTAATATTGACTTATCTTATTTTAGTCTATTAACAAATCAAGAAAAACTTTTAAATATATTATTTGATATACTAATCTTCTATGTTTAATGACTACTGTTTAGGTGATAATTAATTACTATCTTTGATAATTGTTTCGCCTATATATAAAGTAATTAAACAAGAATGAAATTGAACTTTGAAAAAATAATTCCAGTCTGTGCCTAGCTACGTGCAGTTGTGCCTTTTTCAAAGGAGTTGATTCTTAATTTAAGTGGTGGTTGCAATCGAGTATAATATGAAAGTGGTGACGAAGTTCATCAACAAGTCAAAAGAAGAAGATACAAAGGGAGTTGTCCTTAGCTTTTTTTTTTTTTTTTTATTGTTCTTTGTTGATTTTACAAAATTGAAAAATGGCTACTATTACATTTTTTATCCATTAATTAGTGAATTGCTTGACCGTGGCATGGGGGCCGTTGATGTTTCCCTTCGGAGTTTACCACGTTGTATTTGGTGTTCAAGTTTTAATATGTTATTTAAATTTCACACTTATTTAAAACTGTTCGAACACAGTTTCAATCTGCACAATGCAGTCAGTACTGTTAGAAGTTGAGTATAAAAAGTTCTGATTACCTGCTATCCAGTGTTTCAAACTTTCAATAGTTTATGTTAGCATAATTTTTTCTTCATCGAGTGGATGAGATTGTAACAAGAATCTAGTACTTTAAAATTTTAAACCAATTTTATGTTCTACCTCCCTACAAGTATTTTAGATTTCAATTCAAATCAACTTTAGAAAATTCTATAAATGTTAGAAGTTGGGGGATGTTACAACATATACTCCAAAAGTAGAGTCATCGGGAAACTAAAACAAATTAGATTCGAGACAGTGTCCATGTTAATGCAATGTTATTTGAAATTTTAAAAATTACAAAAATGAAGGCATTCCCAATTAAGCCAATGTCTTGAACCAAACACGATTAAAAAATAGTTTGTTCTTAAGGGCAGCTCATTTAGGATATAGGTCAAGCTTGTTTATATTATATAAAATGCAAGGGCTAAGACAAGTACCCAGATATGCACATGGTTAGTATTATTGCATACAAATTCATTAATTTTTTTATTTTATTTTTTACATCAGATTACATCTCTAGTGATGTGGATAGTATAATACCATACCAAATAGTTCAGAGAAGAAAAATAATTAAATAAAAAATCTATTAATTGTATAGTCTAAGGGGGTGTCTGGGCGTGATTAAAAACTGATTATAAGTAACTTTTTTACCTTTGAGGCTTGCAACGGTAAAAAATCGGATAAATGGATTGAATGTTGTGTCGGAGCAAAATTCCAAATGAAGCCCACCATTACATTATGTGTCAGAAAATTTCAGGGCCATCACATAAAAGTGAGGGCAAAATAGTCATTCACCCATGTAAATTTATTTGACTAACCACAATCTGCTTACACGTGGTCAATCATAAACGGTTCCAAAATCGATTTTCATTAAGTGAGAATCGCGCCCAGACATGTCCTAAGTTCTAATCAATATTGTGCATTAAATGAATATCTCATACAAAGGGGTGGAGTCGGGGGAACAATTTTTTTTTTTTTACTGAACAATAAATAGTCGAAAAAATTAAATGGGCTTGAGGCGGCTAAAGGGTAGGCTATCCTCTGCCCGCTCCCTCCCTCTGCCCCTGCTCATTCTCATCATTTTTAATAATTTAAAGTCGAGTCTAGTTATAATGAATCGGATATCTCAAGACTTGATTACTTTGTCATTTTCTCTCGTATTAAATGATTAGATTTAAGACTTTTTTTAATGCAATATAAAAAGTCAAATAATTATGATGATAACTTGTTAAACCTAGTTAACTTTTTGAATTTGGGGTATTTTGTGAACTTAAGGTGATGGTAATTATTATTTTTTGTTAAAATAAATAGTAAAATATTCACTAGTCACTACATTGCTTGATGTGGACCATTTAACAAATGTGTTACTTTTCTATAAAATTTAAACCTTTATGGTGAACTCTATCAATTAATTATGATGGATTTTGGACTGAATCGAAAAGTTGTTTTGTTGTCCAACATATTTCTTTGAGTTGTAATTTGTACTTTTTAAAAAGTGTTTTCAGATTTTTTTTCGAAAAATCTAATGACGTTGATTTAATGTCAAAAATACGTTAGTCCTTCTAGAATTAATAAGATAAGTTTAAGTTCGTGCTTTTCTTTTTTTTTTTTGTTGAAAATGAGTTTTGTAATAATGCATTTTTGGAGAATTTATTGCTAAAAAATAGAAAAAAAACATAGGTTTACGTGTAAAATATTTTATTATGAGAATGTGAAGTTGAAAATGAATTTAAAGAAAAAAAAAATGAACTTTTAGATAATGATGACCAAATAGGGGCTTGAATGTGTATACGAGTTAATAAGTAAACTTGATATTAGGCTCCGTTTGATTGGCGGAATTTTCCAAGGAAGTAGGAAAATATTTTCCTACTTTCACTTTTTTGACTGTTTGATATGCGAAATTTTCCACGGAAAATGTTTTCCTCCCTTTTTCTAGGTACAACCCTTTGATACACAAATGGTGGAAAATGTTTTTTCACCTAATAGGTGGGAAAACATTTTCCACCTTTTTTTGTTTGTTTGTTTGTTTTTTTTTTTACAATGAAAATAAATTCTAGACACAATGGTAAAAAAAAAAAAATCACTTTTATCGACAACTTTCATGCAAAATAAAGTCAAACGAATGATAATCGATATGGTAAAAAAAATTTTTTTCAACATTTTTTTTTGACAATGTGAACAAATTTAGATTCAATAGTAGAAAAAATTATCATTTTAATGGACAAATTCCATAAAAAACGAAGTCAAATGGACATCAAATTTTTTCCATGGAAAATTATACAAATCAAACACAGTTAATTACAATTCCCAGTAAAACATTTTCTAAAAAAATCAATTCCCTATAAAACATTTTCTTTTTCACCCATTTTCCACCCTTGCAATCAAACGGACCCTTAGTGGATTTCTATGAGAATGAAAAGGATGTCCAAGGATTTGCATTGAGGAAGTGTTTGATTTTAATGAAGAAAAGTTGAATATCAGGCAATTACGATTCTCTGCGACTCTTAATTCGATCTCTATTTTATCTTTTTGCTCATGTTTGTACCTTATTTTTTCTCAAATTTATTTTCGATCATAGATTCTTCTAATAAAAAAATTTTGAACATAAACCCAACTTTTTTTCTTACTTCTCAAGGTAATATTATACCTTGAGAAGAGGTGTGGTGCTTGTTATTTATTTCTCAAGAGTATAACAAAGTAATCCAAAAAATTGCTTCTTATGTTTCTCTTAGCCAAATTGTTTTGATTTTGATTTTCTAAAATTCATTTTCAAGTCAACACATAATTCACAATTTTTATCAATTTTTCAATTAAATATTTGATCAGTTTTCATTAAAATTTATTAAAAATTTAATTTTTAAATAAACCAAACGTGACGGAAAAGTGTACAGTAACTTGCTTCACATTCTTATATTTGCAAATGATTTTGGGCATGTTCGATCGTGCTTAAAATTCAATTAAAATTGAAAATATAAACGTTATTGGGTCTCACCCGTCTAATAAAAGTCAGCAATAACGATTAATTTTTCAATTTTAATATCTTTTTAATCTGTACCGATAATCAAAGTAGTATCTTTTAAAGATAAAGCCTCTTTTTATCTACCATTTTTCAAAAAATTGTTTTCTACAGTAATCAATTTCTATCGCACATTCAAATAATAAAATATTTTACACATAAACCGATAAAGTTTCTTTCAATTTCAACCACACATTTTTCAAAAAAATACTATTCATTACACCATTTTTTTCCTAGTAAAGTTGACAAACAAGCACAAAATGACCTCTTAATCTTTCAATTTAACAGAACAAAAAACGGTGCTGCGGTGAAAAAAGATAGCAGTTGCAAGAAAACCCTCCTTCTTTTTCTTCCACATGGGCTATGGCTCTTTGATTCACAAATCGAACTGCAGAAGCCATAGAACTTTGAAGTAGTAAATGGATAGTCTTAGAATGGGTTCTTAACATCTGGGTCAGCATTGAAATATGAAGTACTTCATCTGAGTATAATGCCTCTGTGATTATGCTAGAAATAGATAGAGAAATTGATAACCAAACCATTATTTTTTGAGCCATATGCTCAGTTACTCACATTCGTCCTTTTCTTGAGTGGGATTTGTCAAAATTTGTTATTTGAACTGTAAATGGTATCGACTTGACTTGGTTGTTGACAATGGCTAGGCGTCACGGATGGCAACTCCCTGCTCACTCCTTTCAGGTTTGATGTTTTCTGCTTCTTCTCGTTTTAACAGGTTGAAATTTTGAAAATTTCTTGTGGGTGTTTGACTTCGAAATGTTGGATTTTTTATTTTTTACTGTAGTTGGGTTTCTAATGATTAATACTTACTTTTCAGAGTCTAGCTTACAATGTGGTAATTTTTCGTACATGGTTACTCTGAAGATGAAAATAGAAAAATAAAAATAAATAGTAAGAGAAAACACTCCGTACTGTGTATTTGAAAACTTGGAAGATTTACTTATTTGAGATCGAGGAAATTAGGTTAAAATCAAGTTGACTTGATCTTGATGGATCTTTTTCTTTTTCTGAGATTGCATGGTAATTTTTGTTTTTTTGTTTTTTTTTGGGCAATTGACAAACTAATGGAATATGTACAAAAGATGAAATAATAGGAAAAACTTCAAAATGCTTGGCCTCTATATTCTCTACTATTCCTATTTTACAGTTTTGAGAACTGTTCCTGCAGATTTTTGTGTGTTTAATTCAATAAGATTTGTTGCGTCAAGAGATTTTTGGCCCGGATCATCTAAAACATAAAAGCTAATGATGGGTTTTCACATTGTATCACATTGCTCTATTATACTGTATTTATTGAAACACAAAAACTGTAGTTTTATCATTCAAGAATGCACCTTGCTAGTCCATTATAGCTGTAGTTTTAACGCAATATTCTGGCATTATTTGCTTAATTATATATTATATATTTGCTCACTGCGGAACCCTTTGAGGCAGGATTCATATAAAAACTTATAGTGAGATCTGTTCCTGCTTATATTCTTTTAGAGATAGTAATATTATCACCTTCACCGCATCAAAATTCTTGAGACCCAATTATATAGGATCAAAGCATGAAATTCCAGTTCATTGTTTATTTTATGTCAAATAGTTAAGAGTATTTTATAGTATAATCTTCTTTCTTTTAATTAGAAAATTAGGTTTGAACCTTGCATGACTATTCTCACTTTATCTTTCTGTTTGTTTCTTTTGCAATGCAGGTTGTGGCTATAACAGTTTTTTTCTTGTTATCTGTTGCTTTCTATGCTTTTTTTGCTCCATTTCTTGGGAAAGACATCTACGAGTACTTAGCAACGGGCATTTACTCCTTCCTGGTAAGTGCAATCTGTGTTTATTTTATTTTTTTGTTATTTTTGCAGAATCCTGTCCCAATCTGGTTGACAGAAGCTTTAATGCTTCTTGTTCTGTATAATTAATATTTCCAGGCACTGTCTGTATTTATACTTTACACAAGGTGCACAGCTATTAATCCTGCTGATCCTGGAATTCTCATTGAAGCCGACAAGTCATCAACTTATCGATCACATAATGGAACAGAGGTTCCTGGTAAGCAATTTGCACATTTTACAAATGAAAAATATCCTCAAAAAGATCAGATACACTACCTAATTGGAACATCGAGGATATTTACTGTATTTACAATATCAGTTATTGTACAACTTTTGAGTGCAGCATTATTGGACCATCTGGACAGATACTTGAACGAAGGACCTAAGAATTATGATGTGACTGCACTAGAAGTTTTTTTTCTCTTTTCTTTTTTGATGGAAGCCTATTGGACTATTTGGATTTGAAATTTCCACATTACAGCAATTTTTCCAAGTTTTGTTGATAGCTTTATGGTGTGGATTAGATATATCTACCACTAAGGAGCCAAGCAAGACGGAATTAAAGAAAGGAGAAAGATCTTACAGGCATGATGCAGGATGTTGTTCGAAAATTGGAGGCTTTCTTTGTTGTTGTCTTATGACGGAAGATTGCCGTAAAGATGAAGATCATGTAGCGGAGCAAAATGGTGAAGAAGATGCTTTATTCTGCACATTGTGCAATGCGGAGGTACACAGTTCAACAAACGTCTATTATAATTATGTGTAAGGCATATTACATAATCAGGATTTAGGAAATGACTATACATTTCTTATCTTAGCCAATCAGTGTTACATTAACTTGTTTCAGAAAAAAAATAGTAATAAATAAATAATAAAAACCTGTTACTGTAATTGGTGTATGATAAGTTCAAGCTTGCAATTCTATTACTACTTCTGAGATCATTCTTCATGGTTCAACTATAATTAATGCTGCCCCTGTGTCATTATTTCAGCATCATTATGTGGGTGGTGACTGTAGAATCATAAATTCTAGGTATAACTAAATTCAATATGTGAATCCTTGAATTTTCATGCCAGTGCAGACAGTCACACTAGCCCTTCCCATCTTTGTGTTTGTTCTTCCTGTTCTCTTTTTGAAACTTAACTGAAAAGAAAGAAACAGATAAAAAAAGTGTTGATCCAAGAGTTCTTCATGCAGGAGGCCATTTTTTTATGTCTTAAGTTTGTTTGTATCCTTACCCATTGATATTTTTTGTTATCAGCAACTTAACATTCTTTTGCATGTATATCAATTAAAAATGTATATTTTCAATATAGCCTTTCCTCTTTCTTAGGTGCGCAAGTTGAGCAAACACTGTAGAAGTTGTGACAAATGTGTTGATGGATTTGATCATCATTGCCGGGTAAGTTTGAGATTCAATTGTGATTGGGAAGCTCAAAATGAATATAATGGAAGGTCTATCACATTAGAAGTGAAATATAAGGTTTAGTCATGAAATGAATAAAATCTATGTGATTACTATTTCTTCTCTGTTTCTCATTTTTATAATGTGCAATCATCTCTGCAATACAAACATATTTGTGTTTTATTGTTTCTTGGCTAATAGCACTTGGGGCATGTCATCCTAGCAGTGGTTGAATAATTGTGTGGGAAGAAAAAACTATATCACATTTGTATGCTTAATGGCTGCAAGCCTTGTTTGGGTAAGCTTTATACAAAATAGCTTTATTCTGTCAGGCTTTCTCTCCCTCTCCCTCTCCCTCTCCCTCTTTTGTCTCTAATTCATGTTTGGCTTTACTTGCCAGCTTGTTTTTGAATGTGGGGTGGGCATTGCAGTCCTTGTTCGCTGCTTTATGGAGAGAAAGGCTACAGAGAATCAGATAACTGACAGGCTTGGAGATGGATTCTCTCGTCCGCCCTTTGCTACAGTAGTGGTATATTACACTTCTTTTTGTTAAAAGTAAAACTGAGTGCTTCATCTATCTCTAGTTCATGACTCAATTTATTTTACATTATTTTATGGATCTTTCTGTATATGTAATTTAGATCTAAGTGTGTCTATTTAAAAGATCAGGAATTCATGTTTAAAAGCCTCGGTGCTCCACTCGATTGATTTTAGGAATTATGTGAAAGAAATGAAAGATTGATCTGACCATGTTTTTCCATCAAGAGAACATATATGTTTCATTTTATTTATCTGCTTTAAGAAGTTTTCTAGATTGCACATGGTTGTATATTGGAATATAAATATCTACAGAAGCCATATTCATGCCAACAGAACTTTACCCCCTATTGAGTTTTACTATTTATCTTGTTACAGGCGCTCTGTACTGCTGTTTCTTTGCTTGCAATGGTACCTTTGGGAGAATTGTTCTTTTTCCATATAATCCTTATCCGAAAGGTATGTCTCTAGTTGCTCTCTCTATGAGTGACGTGTGCATGTACGTGCTTTTGAGTGTCATTTGCCTCAATGTCTGTATGCGTGCTTGAATTATGCCCGTAGGATGTGCATATGTGTTGTATTTGCATTTTAAGTGAAGGTGTACATGTAGGGAAAAGTTGAGTTTGTAGCACTCATATTACAATTTCTTTTGTAGGGTATCACAACATATGAGTATGTTGTTGCTATGAGGACTCAAACTGAACCTCCTGGACCTTCTGTAGATGGAGGAGATCAGCAAAGTTTACCATCTTCACCAACGAGTTCCGCTGTTACTGCCATCAGCGGAAGAAGCTCTGTTGGCATGGGGCTTCAATATAAAGGTTCTTGGTGTACTCCCCCTAGAATATTTATGGATCATCAGGTATTTATATCTCTTTATACTACGTACTTGACTCCTTTAAGGTGACTATAGGAGTTTATATGAAATAGAGTGATGACCTATCGTTATGGTGTTGACTGTTGAGTTTTAAGACATTCTCTTTCACGTTGCTCCTTTTCCTAAAGAATATTGGTTCAACACATATGCAACTAAACTATTTTTGTCAAACCACTGTTTCTAATTTTTTACTTTTTTATCAAGTTTTCTGAAGTAGAGAACTGTTAGCAACATATGACACAAATTGTATTGTTAGGATTGTGAACTGTAAGGTTCCTGATTTAGAAGGGGGAAAGATTGTTGATGCAAAACTAAATGCTTCTATCACGAGGCAGAAAATGTAATTGGGTCCATGTCGATACATGTTGGTCCTACTATTGAGCATTATTGTTGATACTGCTTGAAAAATTTATTAACGTGAAGTCTCATAGAAAATAAGTTTATTGTATACATTATTCTTTTGAACATTGAGATGTGTGATATCCTACCATGGGATTGTGTATAAGGAGTTTCTGGACATCAACATAATAAATTCTACTTTATTGTAATGTTGACCTTTGGTAATTCTTATTGTCTAAAAAACTAAGGGATATTACAAAATTATGGGAGGATAATTGAGTATTAATTAATGATCTCATAGATTTAGTTCAGTTTATCCTAGAAGATTTAATATCGAAGTCATTTCATAAACTCCAATCATGGATTGAAAATTTTAAAAAAAGGAAAAAAAGAAATTGTATTTATGTTTTTTAAGTTATATAGAAAGACCATATGATAGGTAATAGTATCTGCATATGGTTTTTATTGATATTGGAAAAATATAGAAAAGGATTTTCAAAGAAGTGCTAAGCTAGGTGCTAGAAAGAATAGAAATTTCTATCGGATGTATCAATATTTTTGATGCTATTGTTGGTAAGGTGTATTATCAATTAAGAGAGTTCCGGTGGGGGCAGTGTTAAATAATTTTCTATTATGATGGTCTCATGTCAAAGTTTTTGTCTTGACCCTTATCCCTTTTTTTTAATGAATATGTGAGACATGCATGATGATGTCCCTTAGTGGATGCTATTGCTGATGACATAGTTTTAGTTGATGAGATAAGGGAGTCAACATTAGTTTGGACTTGGGGAAAGAACTTTTGAACTTGAGGATTTACGTACAAGTAAGACAAATATATGGCATGTCACTTCAAGTTAGTACAAGTAAAGATGGTAGTGGAGGCTTTATAGAGGATTATATATTCCAAAAATTGGGTTGGATGAAATGGAGAAACGTAAAGGGATCTTCCATAAGACATCCAAGATGATGTCCCTTAGTCTCTGATATCCATTAATGAAATAATTTTGTAAAAATCTTAACTTTTTAAATTTGGATGTCTTTCTCTGTCTTTTAGTAACATCCCACAAATCTTGTTATTACAAGACATCCAAGATGATGTCCCTTAGTCTCTGATATCCATTAATGAAATAATTTTAGTTGATGAAATTAAGATGTTAATAAATATTCAGTTTGAACTATGAAAGAGCACTTCAGAACTTAAAGTTAAGTATAAATTAAGATCTTACACATAGAATGTTGTGATAATCATAGTAGTAAAAAAGTTGCTAGCGGAGTCATTATAGAGGATTATATTATTCGAAAAAGTGATTGTTTTAAGTATTTAAGTTTTTATATGAATATAAAAGGAACTTGAAGAGGATGTAACAACCTAATGCAAAGTATTTAAAAGTTTGGATGCCATTGAAAAATGCAAAGGAATCTTCTGTAAATGGAATATATTATTGGGAAAATTGCAGCAGCGATATCTAACATTTTCAATTTTTGTAGACTTTACCCTAACCTTTAATTTGTGCCAGCGAAGGTCCCTAACCTTTCATAAATATATAGCAGATGTCCAAATGGATGAAAATAATCCACTTGACTGTTAGTTGACCAAAAAAGTTAAAATTTGATTAATAATGTACAGAAATTAGGATTTTGTCATTATACTAGGATGGGGTCACATGAAATGATAATTTATTCCCACAACTGGAGGTGACTTCAATTGAAAATAAATTCAGGGATAATGACTTTGGTGATTGGATCTAAATAAATTCTTCTTCAAAATAACAATCTTAGTAGAACCTGTTACAGGAGATCGAGGTATACGAAAATTTATACAATCTAATGTGGTCGCCAAAAATTTAATTTCTTTAGACCATTTGGTAGATGTAGCAGTAGATCTATGGAGTGGTGAAAAGGATTCACAATGCTGCCTCCAATTTACTGGGAATAGAGTTTAATTGTTTGAAGTTGTTATGAAGGCTTTGTGAATNCTGACTCCAATTTACTGGGAATAGAGTTTAATTGTTTGTAGTTGTTATGAAGGCATTGTGAATGATAATGAAAACCAAAATCATTTGAAATACTAATCCAGGTGCTAATGGAAGGTAGGTTGACGATAGCATTCGGCACTAAGTTCAATTTTTATTGCACTTGCTTATCTCTCTCTCTCTCTCTCTCTCTCTCTCTCTCTCTCTTTTTTATCTGTCTTATAATGGGCATCATCGATAATCACATGATTTGAGTTCTTTGTCATCATAAACTTTTTGCATTCAATCATATAAGAAAGACCAATCCACATTTCTTTGTCCATGTTAAATGTTATTATGTGGATCTGCTCTTAGGAGCGATATGTAGGATACACGACAAACTTGCCATTTTCAACCATTTTGTACAACTTTTAACTACAAATTCTACGCTCGTATAACGTATTTGTTTCTCGTTGTCTCCATGGTTACTAGGGAAGTTAATGTTTTAATCATGTTGGTTTTGATTTGTTAACTCAAAGCGAGTTTTCCGTTTATCTGATAGCATTTTATTTTTTTTAACCTTTGATGCTATGAAGTACTGGAATTTTAAATTTCAACCGGAACATGGGAAGTCAAAATGCATCTATCTTGGCTCAATTATACCACTTAAAGGGAAACGTTTATAACCTCATTTATCTTTTGCTGCAAATGTATCTAGCTTACCGAGTAGTAATATATTCCTTTGTTTTTTGGCATCTCCTACACAGGATGAAATTATTCCCCATCTTCAGCCCGGACGTCTACCTTCCACAGTTGATCCAGATGCCGTTCAATCTGACAAGGAGAGACGAGGACCCCAGCGTCCAGTCAGAATCAGTGCATGGAAGCTTGCAAAGTTGGATTCTCATGAGGCTATTAAAGCTGGTGCAAAGGCCAGAGCTTCGTCATCCGTTTTACGTCCAATAAGTTCTAGACATCATAATTACGATGCTGATCATTTATCCAATACCACTATGAGTGGTAAAAGCTCTCCAACGAGTACAAGGCACGGATATTACGAGAGCAATGCTCGAGCAGGGGCATCAGGGTTGTCCCCATTGAAGACCTCGTATTCACCTAGTCAAGCTAGCAGGGACGACAATGATACGCGTGGTCACAGCATAAGTAACTTAAGCAGTCCTCTTGCCACAAATCTCACTTCTTCACCAGTCGAGCAGCAGCATTCTTCAAACAAAGACCACTTTAATCCAATATATCAAGCATCGGCTAATCAATCTCCCTGGTCGGCAAAAGCAAGTGATAAAAATGAAGCTTCTTTTAGTGATGATAAAGCCGGGCCGCCCTTGAGGAATAACAATTCGGGTATTGCTGAAAATGTGAAATCATCAGTATTTTGGGATCCAGAAGCAGGGCGCTATGTTTCTGCTGCCACCCGGAATGTTGGATCATCATCTCAAGTTACTGCTGCTGAGCTTACATACGCAAGTCAATCTATATTCTTTGGAGGTCCTCTCATGAACGAACAGCCGAGCCGAGGGGCAAGAAGTGGCACCTCATTGCCAGCCGGTCCCCAGAGAAGTTCAACGTCTAGTTACTATCAACAGGGTAGATCACAGAGGGGAGGTCAGCTTCCTGTATTTGTCCCAAGTGATTCCCAGCAAAACCAATTTTCTTCTAGATTGCAATAAGATTTTGTATGAAACATGAAATGCTACTTCAGAATGGAGTTAGATTTGCAAATTTAGTTTCTTATATTTATGAATTTCCTTCACCTCATTTGTTTAAATTTTTCTTTTGGGCTCTTCTGGTTAATGCAAGCCAATCAAGCATCTTAAAAGTCTGATATTCTAATTATTTCTTGCTTGCTTATCGGCAATTCTATTAATTGGGGGTAAGATTATTGTTCATTTTCTCGAGATGTAAACAGCAAGGACATGCTTCCTACACAATTCTGACTTTGAAGTACAATAGTTAACGATTTAATTTTTTTAATTTCTTAGGCAATCTTCAACACAATTCACCAAAATGGTGCAACTTCTACATCAAAAAAGTGCGTCTTTATTTAGACATTTCCATCCTTTTACACCAAATGTACAACATTTCCTTTGTTTCCTCATTTTTTAATTCTTAAACATCAATTTAATTAATTAATTAATTAATTAATTACAACTTTATTCTTATAAAAATTATTAAATTATATATTACATTTAATTAACTAAAATATTGAAATTATTAATAATTTTAAATAAGTATTACACTTAGCCCTTGTTTGTCTACCATTAAAATAAAACTCCTTTTTTTTAACCACGTATTCACACAATAAAATAACTATAAATAAAATTAAATCATTAAATAATAAAATGATATAATATGAATTAATATTTGTTGTAGTATAAAATGAAGGGTAAAATGAAAAATAAGAACAACTCTATAAATGATGTGAACCCCTTTGCATGATGTACTTTGGAATCCATACCAAGATTTGATATGAACCCCAAGAAAGCTAAAATCAGATCAAAAATCTTGACCTAATAATTTCTTGAATCAAGAACCAAGACTGGAAAGTTGAACGTCACAAAGATTGAAAATATTTGATAAGTTTTGGATAATTTAATTAAGAACAAGTTCGAAACGGAATCATCATTTTATAATTAACCTCTCAAAAATAATGTATTTTCTGTTTATTGCTTGTACTGTTGTACAATGAATATGTCTTATATATGCGAACATAAAGAAACCCTAATCTATTCGAAAATTATCAAGATAAACTTAAACAAATAGAGTCCAAAACAAGCTACATAATAAATCTAGTAGGTCTAATTTTATACCATGCATGCATGTGCATGGTTATACTTGATGCGTACCATGGTTCAATGAATTTGCTCTCGAATTTTGAATCTGGATGCTTGTGTGGGCAAATGAATTGAAGCTTGCATGGACATGGCTTTTCGAATCAGCTTCCTTTTCCTTAGATTGAATCAAATTCACTAAGTTTGGTTCTTCATTCATGCCTCTTTATAAAATTAGCGTATTACTCACTGCACTTGAACTCTTCACCTACGTAGCTTGGCCAAGTCCTTGTATGGCTTGTTGATCTCGTTGCTCTTGATCTTGTTATTGATCAATTCGAAACATGTAAAAGATTCTTGCTAACTGACCCTCCATGTACTCATTAATATCCCTCTCTTCGAAAGGATTCGACCTCGAATCTTCACCTGGTTCTAGGGGCGGACCTAGATAAATTTTTGAGTGGGGGTGGAACCAGCTCGTCGAAGTAGGGGTGTCCAAAGTTGAAGGGGTGGTGGCTTATGGGGGGTGCTGCCCCCGAAATTTTTTTTTTTTCGGAGTTGTTGAATAGTTTAGATTTAGCCGCATTTTCCCAACTAGTTCATGCTATATAGGCCATGAAGAAGCCTCTCACCCTGCATCAAACCCACAAATATATTCACTCTGGCCATGCAATAGTTTTTGCAATCACAGGTGGTCAAAATGAGATTTACATAACATACCAATTCTTCAGCAATATTAGCCACCTGAACTACTACGTGGCCAAAATACTTTCCTTTCGAATCGCGGACTTCAATTGTCAAATCATCTCCAAACCCTTCTGGCAAGGTATATTCAAGTGGGAAGGAAATTTAACCATCCAACTCTATGAGATTGAAGAATATGTAACAAGATTAAAGAGAAAAAGATTACATACAATACATGAGTTTCACCAGATCCTGGCTGCATTCGAGATAGAAAATAAGCTAAAAAAACTGTAAAAAAAAATTAAATTTTTTTTTTTTTTTTCAGTGGGGGCGGCCGCCCCCGCTGGGCCCTTCGTGGGTCTGCCCCTGCCTGGTTCAAATGTCACGTCTTCTTTTTTTATTGGCTTGAGAATCGTAATGCCCATTCTTCTTTTTAATTTGAAGACAAACCTTCTTATGTATTGACTTTACTAATTCATCTTTCCTCTTCCTATCCAAACTATCCCTTTCATCCATAAGTAAATGAATTAAATCCAAAGGAGTTAGTGAATTAAAACCATGGACAATTTCAAAAGTTTTGTTAAAGTTAGATAGTGCTAAAATTAGTGCAAAACACAACCTATTTACGATAATATTAAATTTATATTCTTGTTCAATACCCCAATGAAAATCAACATTTTCTTTTTTCACAATTTCAATGATGGTGTTGAATGTGTAATAAAATTTTTAATAAAACGCCTATTAAAATTAGCTAAACCATGAAAGGTTCTTACCTCGATGATACTTTGGTCACTTCTTGATGACTTTTACTTTCTCTTCATCAACTTCAATACATTTTATTCTAACAATATAACCAAGAAAAAACTATTCTTTCCATGCAAAATGTATACTTCTTAAAATTAATAGAGTTTTTCTTATCTCAAAACAACAAGCACGCATCTTAAATGATCATCTAAAATTTTGCTATATACTTGAATATCATCAAAATAAACTTCTACAATTTTGTCTATGAATGCACGCAAAACACGATTCATTAGTCTCATCAAAATACTAGGTGCATTAGTAAGACTAAATGGCATAACTAATTTTGTGATAGTCACTTTTAAGATCTATTTTACTAAAAAATATGACTCATGCAATTCATCAATCATATAATCTAATCTAGGTATGGGATGATGACACTTTACTATTATATTGTTGACTGTCCTACAATCAATTTAAATTATCTACGTCCCATCCTTTTAGGTACAAGTAGCACTGGTACCACACATGGACTTATACTCTCCCTCATATACCATTTACCCATCAACTTGCCTTTGAAACTCCTTTATCTTATTGGAATTATTTCTATGGGCTGGTTGGTTCGAACTAACAACTCTAGGTACAAAATTAATTTGATACTCCATGCCTCTAATGGCGAGTAACCTAGGTATTTACTCAAGGAACACATCCTCAAATTCTTACAAAAAAAAAATAACCAAACTAGGGAGGCATTGATTAGTTTCCTCAAGATTAAAGAAGAATTCCATGTACACCAGCAATATAAGAGGCTGGTTTTTCATGAAAGCCCTCTTCAATCTCGCTTTAAAATAAAATAAAATAAAATTCACTTTTGTTTCTCTAGTGGCTCTACTATTTTTCATGATTTTCATCCATCTCTCTATTTTCTCTCTTTGTTTTTTTTTTCTTGAAGTTTCAGTTTTCTCTATTTCTTTTTCTTTTCTGCCTCACCTTGTAATTTCAATGGTCCTCACAAATCCATCTATTTTGGTGTTAAGGAACAAGAATTACCATTTTCTTCATGTTAGATAGAGCTGTACATATTCGTAAACTGATCATGTATCATCTTCCTATCATATTGCTATGGCATCTCCAGCAAAATATGTCCAACATTCATAGGAACCACGTTACGTATTACCTCAGCACTATAACTCCCAATATTAAGGTTTACTAAGACTTTCTTGTTAACCTTGACCTCTCTCCCTCATTCAAGCACTGTAACTTATAGGGTTTTGGATGTTTTAGCATAGGTTGTATAGGTAGTTGTGTTGGCGGCTGCGGTGGATCTGGCGGTGGTCGTGGTCCTGGTGGTTATGATGGTTTCTGACAGTGGTTGTGTCGCTGGTGGAGACGATTATGTTGGTGAGGTTGTGGGTTGGATAGCGGTGGTCGTGGTCCTGGTGGTTGTGATGGTTGCTGCCAGTGGTTGTGTCGACGGTGGAGACGATTATATTGGTGAGGTTGTGGGTTGGATATTTTTGCAGATGGTGGCGTTCGCGAAGGTGGTGGTGGTGCAGGAGACGGTGGCGCCGTACGACGATCTGTTTTGTTGGATTAACTGGAATCTAGTGGGATCTGAGGTGTTTTGTGTGGTGGCTTCTGTGGTGGTGGATCGACGATTGGGGTGGTAGCCGTGCTTTGTTTGGTGGCTGTGGGTGGTGGTGGTGGCTGAAGTAATGCCAGTGGTATGAGACCAAGTATTTGGTTATCTGTGACCAAGTATTTAACTGTGGTCTAAAAATTTGACAATATGTGACTAAAAAATAATCTGTGACCAACAAATTTGAAAATATATGACCAATGAAATTAACTGTGACCTGTAAATTTTTGAATTTGTGACCTCGAAAGCATCTGTGGTTAATTAATTTGATAATGTGTGACCAATATATAAATTGTGACCTATAATTATGTGTCTTGTTAAACTATCTACCTGACTTTTGAATTGGTGTAAATCATACACCTCAATTATGAATTTGTCCCTTAAATTAGTGAATTCGAATAAATTATCATATCGGAGGAGAATGTCGAGGGTAAATGTCATACCAATATTTTAAATATAGCTACATTATTCTAAATCATTAAGGTTATTAGAACTGTTTTAAAAATGATAAAATTACCTCAACTCTTACTTTTCAAATTTCAATTTCATAAATCAGGTATCAATTATTATCTTTCAAACCCACCCCACGCACCCCACTTGTCTCCTACTCCATTTCTTCCCCAAAATCATATCTGTATACAGAGACAAAATTCGACGCATGTCCCATACAATGGCAACCCTCCTCGCCACCTCTCCTGTCGGTGGCACAATTCCAATTCCTCAACTATCAAAATAGTAGTGTCTGTAAATCCTAACAACCCAAAGGGAGTAGTGGTGGAGGTGGTGATACGGGAGGAGGTTGTGATGTTGAGAATAGTGATGTCATCATCATCGT